CGGGGCGCTCAGGCCGGCCACCGGCAGCCGCGGGGGCGAGAAGCCCGGCAGCCCGAAGGGGTCTCCCTGGTGCTGCACCTGCGGAGACACGGCAGTCAGGGGCGGGGGTGGGGTGGGGCGCGAAAGGGGGGCCCGCGAGGCGCGACGGAACTCCTCCACTCCCCGCTCCTCCTCCGCTCTCTAGGGCCTCAGTTTACCCCCTCGCAAATGACGCATTCCTCCCAACACAGCTGTTGCGCTGGAGATACTACAACACACACGCGCGCGCGCACACACACACACACACATACACACGCAAAGCGGGCTTTACACCAGCGCCTGTTTCCTCGTCTCTCAAACGCAGACAACAGTATCAACTTCGTAAGAGTAGTTATGAGCATGTTAAAATGGTTCAGGCAAATCCTGGCCCACGGAAGGGGCACAATAAATCTCAGCGATTTTAGTAATGCTATCCTACAGAGCGGGGTGCCGATCCAGTCTCCATCACTTGCTAGCTGTGCAGTTTCATGCAAAACCATTTCCCTTCTCTAAGTCTCAGTCTTCTCATCTGTAAAATGGGGGATCGGCTCCCCAGCCTGAGAATCACACAGATACTGCAGAAACCTGGTCTGTTTCACTCTCTCCCCCCATCCTCCACCACCTCTGCACCCGTCTGGCACACAGCAGGGGCTCAATGAATAACTGTTATATGAACGAAGAAATTAAAGGAGATTTGTAATTTGTAAAAATGCTACAACAATACCATTTATCCTTTGCTAACATCTTGTCTCTGGTTCAGGCACTGTTTGCTGCTTTAAACACATTATTCCTAATCTTTCCAAATGGGTATGATGATTATGATGATGATTTTTACAAATGAGGATATGGAGGCTGAGGAGGTAAACTGACTTGCCCTAGGTCATTCACCTAGGAAAGGACAGAGCTGGATTTTGAAACCCAAGTTCATAGCACTACAAAGCTAGTTCTTTCTATTACCCCACTTGCATAATTGTTACATCATTATTTTTTCATATTACCATTAGTGCCCAAGGTCACAGCAAGTTAGCAGGCCTATACCCTCCTTCCATTACACTAGAGTAACTGATGGAAATATCCTCTTTCCTTGGGCAGGGCCCTATGCCCAACCAAAGATATTAGCAGATTCCCCTCCTCTGTTAAAGTCCCCGCTTGGGCTGGAATTTTTGCCCCAGATTGAAACCCTTTTCGGTCTCTCTGCATAGCATAGGTAGAAGAGTTCACAACTCATCTCGTCAAACTGTCTCCTTTTATAGCTGGGGAGACCAAGGCCCTTGGAGGTGAGGTGACAAGACCACAGAGAGCCTGGAACCTAGGTTTCCTGACTCCCAGATCAGAATTCTTTTCACTCTCTCAGCCTCTTTTTTTTTTTTTTTTTTTTAAGATTTTATTTATTTATTTGACAGAGAGAGAGACAGAGAGGGAACACAAACAGGGGGAGCGGGAGAGGGAGAAGCAGGCTCCCCGCTGAGCAGGGAGCCAGATGCAGGGCTCGACCAGGACCCTGGGATCAAGACCCGAGCCGAAGGCAGACGCTTAACGACTGAGCCACCCAGGCGCCCCTCAGCCTCTGTCTTAATGCACTGTGGGGGGAACCTCCAAGCTGAGGCAGACAGAGGGGCATTTGGAGCACAGGGAGAGTCCTCCGGTTTGCTCCAATTTCTGTATCTGGGAAATGAGGTCGGAAAAATGGGTGGTCAGGAACCTCTGTGATCTGTACTTGCCCGTTCCTCAGGCCTCTGGCACCCCCACCCCCATTCCCACTCACATATTCCTGGAGCAGCTGCTCAGCATATTTGGTGAGGAGGCGGGCAAGGCTGTGTGTCTGACGGATCTTGGCCTCCAAGTGGGGAAGGGGTGAGACTGAGGAGTCAGCCTGTGGATCTTCTGGTGGGAAAAAGGGGGAGGAATGAGGGCAGCCCAGACCGCTGCTCCTTGACTACTTCTTCCAGGCTGGCTCTTCCTTCCTGAATCCACAGTTCTGCTCTGAATTCTCTAACTTTTAAGCCAGGCAGCCTCTGTCCCATTCCAACTGATGGTAAACGAGGCACCGGACATTTGCCAAACAGTTGTCCCACCTGAAATGTATTCCCTGACCCCAAATCACTGTTTAATCCTATTAAAGCCAAATTCAAATATTGCCTCCTCAGTGTGGCGTCCGGATTCTCCTCTTCCTTAAATTAACCTTTTCCTTTTACTTAAGGCCATTTGTTCATACTCCCAAGGTTGTTTTTTCAACAGCTCTTTTATCTGTGTGAACCGGCCTTAGCCTGGGAACCCTTTGAGGGAAGATTTCATATAACCCCGTACATCACTGATTGTTGGTGAAATTTAACATCACTGAAGCACAGAACTTCAAAACGAAATGCTCCTTTAAACCCATTCAGATTGGGAAACTGATGGACAGTCTGTGCAAGACGCTGGACTGGACACCTGCAGCATCAATGACTAACCTTTCCTAGCGCAAGCTAGGGGGTGGAGCCCCGGAAGGACGACTACATTTCCCGAGATGCCAGCGCACGTGCCAAGGCATGCTGGGGAATGTAGTCCCGGCGCGGCAACTCCCGCCCCGCCCCCCCTTCCCCGCGCCAGAGTTTCCCACCGCTTGTCTCTATCCTTAACAGCCTCGACTTTCGTCTCCTGTTGTCACTCATTAGCTCCTGAGGCCCAAAGACTTCCTTCCCTAACTCTAGCCCTCCCTCTGATCCCCAGTTCTGATTCTTTGTCAATACTCAGAGGATTCAGGCGTCCAGCCCCAGCTGCGACCCCAGTCCTCTCTCCCAGGGTGTACTTGAACCTGTGATCTAAACCCTGAGCCCAGGTCCCTGAAGTCACAGCCCAGGCCTCCGCTAAACTCTGGCGCTTGTCCCTTCCCACAGCTCACCCACAGCTCACCCGCTCGTTACCTGACACCCGGGCCCTGCTCTCCCCAGCTCAGGCCGCTCCCTTCCCGGACCCGGGGGTGGTGGGGACCCAGACCCCAGCTTCCAGCCCTTCTGACCCCTGCTCCCCTCAGGCATTCGACATCCAGCCCTTCAGCCCCTTACCCAGACTTCCCTCCCTCCGGCTCATGCTGGCCCCTGGCTGATCCTGGTTGCCTACACGCCCCCCTTCCGAGGGGGGGGAAGAGGGGGAAAGGGCCAGGGGCGTGGCCCGGGCGCAGCCAATCAGGGCTCAGACCCCAAACAATTCCCCCCCCAACCCTCGCCGCCCGCCCCAGGCTGGATTCCTTGGCTCTGAGCTCAGCTCCTTACTTGCGCGGCCCAGTCAGGAAAGGGGCCTGAGGGGGGTTGGCAGGTTGTCTGCGTGGTGGGCTCAAAACCTTGAGGTTAGGTGTGCCGGGGCCTGGGAAGCAGCCCTGGTACCGCCGGGAGGAGGAGGCTCAGGCGAGGGCTTGGTGAGCGAGCTTCTTTTCGGAGAAAGCTGGGAGTGGGGCGCGGTGGATAAGAGAGGGTGGAGCGGGCAAGACAGGAATGTGCTGGTCCTCCCTCCTGTCTGGGGGGGAAGGGGGAAGCTGGGTGCGAGAGAGGCCTCTCTGAGGGCCCTCAGGCTTGGGCCACACCTGCCCAGACAAATACCTCCTGGCCTATCTTAGATACTTTCTGCTTGCCCTCTCTCGGCACACCTACTAGACGGGGGGTAGATAACAGCCGCTCACTTCACCTTACCAGGCCCAGTACGAGAACCCCTCTGATCTACTGCATGTAGACCTTCATTCTCACCTGGGAACAAGCTTCAGAGTCAGGTACAGGGGGGTCATACCGACATGTCAACCCCACTGACCTGGTGCAGATAAACGATGAAAGGTCTGCACGCACTTAATACGCGTAAGTGATTCCCAAGCACCTACTTGTCCTGGGTTCTGGGACCCAGAGACCATCCATACTTGGGTCTCTGGCCCCCTGAGGAGCTCACAGTCTGATGGAGGCGACCATAACCAACAACAGGTAATGGGGTTTGTGAGTGAAGGGACTGGGAAGGAGGCCTGTGTTCCTTCCATGAGGATATTACCATGAGCAGACAACTGCCAGAATAAAGGAAGGTATTAACTGACAGAGAGCATAGGAGATGCCGTTGAAGTCAGACTTGTTGGTAGGGGCCACAATCACACACTTACTAACGGTGAATATGTATTGGGCATTTACTATGTGCAAGGCATTGTTCCAGGAGTTACATATTAACTTACTTTCATGTTATAGTTGAGGGAATAGAGATAAGTGAGTTGTCCAAGGTCACTGGACAAGAAGAGCTGGGATTTTCCCAGGGGCAGTTTGGCTCCAGAAATTTGGTCATAATCCCCCTCCTATACCTTAACCCCTCTGGACATAATCACACCAAAACACACAGGGACAAGAGCCAAACCCTTGAAACACACACACATAGTAACACATGTCATATCTGCCAGCAAACACAGATTCAAATAAACTCAACCAAAACACACTCATTTTACGTAGACTTTTAATTGAAGTATAATATACATAGGGAAAAGTGTGCAATTTGATGACTATTCAAAGTAAATATACAGGGGGCCGGGGGACCAGCACCAGATCACCAGATTAAGAAACTGAACAGGAGCAGTTCAGGGGCTCCCTTGTAGCCTCTCCCAAGGGTGACCACTATCCTGACTTCTCACACCACAAATTAGTTTTGTCTCTTTTGAACTTCATATAACAGGAATCACACAGTGTGTAGTTGTATCTGATTTCTTTCATGAGACATGTCCCTGTTGTGGGCTGTAGCAGGACATCACTCTGCTCTGTGCACTGTATGAACAGGCTACAGTTCAGTTCCACTCTGCTCTTGATGGGCTGTTTCCAATTTGAGGCCGCTATGGACAGTGCTATGAACATTCAAGTACACATCTCTTGGTGCTCATACCCACGCATTTCTGTTGGCTGTTAATGACCTAGGAGTAGCATTGCTGGGTCGTGTGAGTTCAGCTTCTCTAGAAAACTGCCAGTTTTCCAAAGCGTCTCTACCCATTTCCACTCCCCCAGAAACATGAGAGGTCTAGTTACTCTACTTCTTTGTCTACACTTGATATGGTCTGTCCTTCTCATTTTAGCCATTCTGGTGGGTGGAGACTTACTCATATTTGCGGCGTCTGGCCCGTCATGGGCACTCAGTGAATAGACCGCTGAATGAATGGCTGGAGGAAGACCTGGACAGTGCGGGAGTGACAGCCACGGGAGGCTGGACACACACCCTGCACACAGCATTCGGGGCCGCCCCCCGCCCCCGCGCAGAGGACGCGGGCCGGGACAGTGACCCTCTCGCGCCCCCCTCCCCCTCCCCGTGCCCACGTGGTCTGAACGCACCTCCTCAGCCCAGCCGCGCGAGTCCTGGCGCCAAGCTGTCCCCAACCCTCCCTCTTGGCGGCGGGTAGGGGGCGCTGCGCGTCGGGGCGCCCCGAGGGGGCGGGCCCGGTCGGGGCGGGGCTGGCCGGCTTCCAGGCAAG